CTGTCAACTAAAAAAATACAGGTCCGTATTTAAGAATTCAAAGATGGGGGTGGCCCAAGTCAGATGACACCCTGTATAAAAGATTCATGGATATATTCTGAGAGCCCACATCAAGTGCCAATAGCAAAATGTGGACTGATTTTCAATATGTCTGTGAATAAAGAAGATATAGGCAAAAAAATAGTTTGAGATTATTTGGTTTTTCCTGTATATCTCCAGAACCAAAAGAGCTATCTTCGATTTCTTTACATCATTGAATAGTTCTCTGAAATACACAACTTTGCCACAATAACCGACACTCTATCTCTTATCATTTACGAGAGCACCATGTACAGAAATGAATTTGAATAGCCCTGTATATGTTAAATGATATATAGATATAGAAATAAAATACTTTGTCTAATTTCCACTTAATGTATTGATGTTAATACGACCAAGGTTTCGATTTTTACACCATTCTCAAGTATTCTAACACTACTGACCTAAGAGAAATATCAGAGTATATATATATCCAAGAGTAGGTAATAAGATATATATTTACATTCATTAATACCAACTACCTAAACTTCAAACTGTAATTAATTGCATTGATATCTTTATAAATTCAAAAGTGGAGACCTACACAAATCTGTTTGATCGTTAAGGGTTCTATATTTTGAGTTTTCAATTGATTTATTGATTTCCATAACTTCCAACAAATTCATTTTCCTTCCTTTACTACATGTATGTATGTATGTATGAATTTGTTGGAAGCCATGGAAATCAATAAATCAATTAAAAACTCAAAATATAGAACCCTTAACGAACAAACAGATTTGTGTAGGTTTCCACTTTTGAATTTATAAAGATGAAAATGCAATTAATCACAGTTTGAAGTTTATGTAGTTGGTATTAATGAATGTAGGTATATATCTTATTACTTACTCTCAGATATATATACTCTGATATTTGTCTTAGGTCAGTAGTGTTAGAATACTTGAGAATGGTGTAAAAACCGAAACCTTGGTCGTATTAATATCAATACATTAAGTGGACATTAGACAAAGTATTTTATTTCGATATCATTTAATTGAAGATGAATTTCCACAAAATAAATAAGTCATCAATATCACAAACCCTGTATATGTGATGAACACCTGGCGGTTTTTCCACAGAGCCAGAAAAAATGTTATTAAACTCCACTAGAGAAAATAAAAAAATATAATCACAAAAACCAATTTATTAAATAGTATATAACATAAAAAAATTACAAAAGATAACAAAAATAAACTATATATCTAGTTCCTAATAAGATGCACCTCTGCCATGTGCTTCTTATACCCCTCCCGGTAATCGAAAGACTCTGGACACAGGTGGCAGCAGTACATATTGGTCAGATCGGAGTGCACCAGACGCACGTGGTATTTCAGGGCAGACTGATTCGAGTAGACTTTCCCGCAGTGGGGACAGTTGCCACACTGCGAACTGTGGTGGGGCTGCAGATCCGTTAGTCTAGCCGCTATGCTCATTTCCTTGAATTCTTCAGGAGTCATAGCCTGAAATTAGGTAACAAAATGATAATAATTTGTCTTTTAGGCAATCACTTATTGATAGATAGTTATAGATGATGGATATTTTTTATTAACTATGTTATGCGGAAAACATTGTAGTACCTCAAAAACACTGTCGAATATAAAACAGTAAAATCAATATTTATATAAACACAACCCAAAAATATACTATACAAGGTGTTTTCTGACTATGGTATGGAACTTCAGTTTCAGAGATACAAGGCTTTGAAGTTAAAAAAATGGTATTCATGAAATATCATAAATATCCTTTAACTGGTTTGGATGTAATTTGGTAGAGTTATTTGAAATAATGAGGCGTTTATTTAGCCCTAAGTAAATTGAAATTATTAGGTTCAGTGGCGTCTCGGTGGGCACCACAGCCAATTATATAAAGTATGCCACTGAAAATACAACTTTTTGATCTCTTGTGTTTCCTTCATATGTAGTTTCGTTTTCGAGAAAAAAATTGAAGCGTCTCTATTGAATATCACGAACATGGTTTTTTTTTTAATATCGAAAAAACATCTCCCCCGATTTGTCTCAAACTTGGTACCAACTTTTTTATACCTTTTATTTGCTAGTAATCAAATTCGATTCAATCCGTTCAGGCAACTGTAACGCCACTAGCTTCAATAGTTTTACCAGTAAACAATTGCTTTTAATAACAGATTATTGCCAAGTCCAATCAAGTACCTTATTACCAGTTGTATTGTCATATCAGTGAAGTTCAGAGTTGTCAATTAGTAGCGACTTTATAATCAATAATTTTACTAAAGTTGAAATTACTGACATGCACTTTATTTACGGATTAGCAAATAGAAATGCGAAACAACTACGGAGAATTTAGCAGGACATCTATCCTATTAAAGTAATTCCATTTGCTAAAACATTTAGAATGCTGCATACAGGATTATATGAAGCTGGGACTTTTGATAAAAATTTCGATTGTGGAAAACCACAAATCGTAACAATGCCTGAACTAGAAGAATTTATACTCAATGCAAAATAGGATGATTCTTCAAATTTGGAAAAATGCACTGCAGTTTGAAGTCAGTTCAAAAACCATTTGGAAATTATTAGTGACTTCCATTTTTATTAGCAAGATTAACAGTTGATTCCTACACAGACTTTTCGAGAAATCATTTACCCATTTTGTTAGAAGAAGAACCCGTATTTGTAAGACTCAATAAGTGATTTATGTATGACGGGGGCGCCAGCTCATTTCAGTGTTCTATCTCGTCAGCATCTCAACATCATCTATTCCAATTGCTAGATTTATGGGGTCATTAAAGGCTCTTGTACTGGATGAGAATGACTCTGAGGAATTAAGTAATTGACAATCAATAACAAATCGTTTGCAATCGTGTATTCTGTCAAAAGGTGGATATTTAGCTCATTTACTTGAAGTTGAAATTGTTTATTTCTTCTCAGTCAAGTTTCAATTACGTGTATTATTAATAACGAATACCAAATTGCCTAGGTAGTGATGAGACTCACTTATGTAACTTATAAAAGTGGAATACACATACAACACAGGTGCTGATATGACTTGATAATGACTGAATGCATAGTCGTAAGAATGGTAGTCGAAGTTGTCTCGTGATGATGCTGACTTGTTTAGCGACACGCATGTCAAGAGACAGCTTTTTTGTTCTGGTGAGAGAAAATTATTTTCAATAGATTTGTTTTACAATAAAAAATTACCATTCTATTTTAGAGAAAGTTCTTGACGGGTTTTTTAATATTTTTGAAATCTTCGTGTTGAGGCAGAGACAACTAGCTGAGAACCAGCTGTTCATCTATTCAAGACCACCATTTTAAGAGATTGGTATCCTGTGGTATCCTTTTTGACACAATCTCTGAAAAATCACCTGCTTATATACCATCTGTAATCAAAGCAATGTACCTGATTCAGCACAGAGCCCTGTGATATCCCTTTTTGAATACCTGTTGTTGAAAAATTTGTTTTGTTTTTGATGTTATTCTTGGTCCTGGTATTGTCATCGATTTTTTAGGAAGGTACCAATTCATTTTCTTTTCTGTATTCCATAAACTTGTAATTTGGCCTGCTGAAGTTATAGAAAATCGTAAAAGGGTATTTACCAGTATCTTATAGTTTGGTTTTGTCAATGAATATTTGTTTGTATTATTAAAATGATACATCTATGAGTATAGTATATACGAAGCCGATTCGAATTGCATAAAACAAAATAGTTGCCTAACGTCAGCTGTTTCTTTGTATGGCATGGGCATCGTGGTATAATTTTTTTGTGTAATAATTATTTTTATGTGGCAGTTTTTATATGGTACTGTTTGGATTGACACCTTATAGACTATACCATATCTGTCTGTTTAGAATCTGTTTTTCCGTTAACCAGCTGTCGCACCCCTACGAACGACAACCCTCAGAAGTCTAAACTTGTGCGAGCTAAGGATTAACACGGTCTTACCTTTTAACGTGTGATTCCTAACACGGGTTGGACGGTAGCACGTGAAGATCGATCGTTCAGACTAGGGCTTGAACCACCGACCAACACATCAGGATGATCTTCAGTCTTGATACGTTGTTGAAGGAATTCAGAAGGATATTCAAAAGTGGACGGACTGGATGACTCTGAAGAGGATTTCGGGACTCTTTTGTCAAGGTCTACTTCTGGTGGCTTACGAGGAATGAAGATTGTTTTTGGGAGGTCTTGAATGATGCAGACTTTATCGGATTGATAAGGCACTGATGATGGAGATCTTCCTGTAATTCAAAAGTTTAGTTCATGTTCAACATTTTTCATGATATTTTGATATACACACCTGCTTGTGAAGTCAACGACCTCTCTAGAATACTGCTCGGTTTATCCCTTACTTCCAAAGCTGCCTCTAGAATTGAACCTGGGGTATCAGCCTTCTCTCCTACCACAACTTCGACATTCTCACTCACATCATACTCACTGTTAGCACCTAGTTCGTCCTCAGTCTTAATTTTATCAACCTCAACTACCTCGAACTGTGCAGGAATCGACCTGTTCGCCTCGTTGAGCACTTCTTCAGCATTTCCAGGTGGTGTAACTGACTTTTTCGGTTTGGGACTGAGCTTTGCTTTCTTCTGTGGAGATTCTTGGGATTCGATGTTGGTTTTTGGCTTTTTCTGAGGAACGTATAGTTTCTTTTGTGGTGCTTCATCAGAGTTCATCAAACCGAGAACTTGCAGAATTACAGCTGTGTGGAGGAAGGAGGATAGTTGTTCTTCAGAAACTGTGACCTCGCCATGATACATGAAGTTTATTATTGCCATCAGATCCGCATAAGCTACATCTTTTAGTATAACAATCGGATGAGGGCATGGGTTTTCCTAAAACAAAATAACTGACATAACAGAAAATATTTATAAATCCAACGAATATTTTTGCAATATCATGTAAATTATTAGTGAGTCAATAATGTTCACTTAACTGATTCATATAATGAACCCCACTCAATTTTTGTAACATTTCCAAGTTTATATGGCATTTTAGTTAAAGTGGCACTATCAAAGAATGAAAACAGTACCGATATTGATGAAATTTCTCTTCAATTTATATCATTACCTAAATACATGCAACAAGTGTAAAACCAGATTCAACAAATCTGGTTTTATAATACTAATCCTCGTTCTGAAAGATTAAACATTATTAAACTGGTTCAATAATGTTTGATGAAAATGATGCTCATTTAAGTATTTACATCAGTTTAAGAAACATTGGTAATTATAAAACCTCCTTTATGATGCCTTGTAAACTTGTTCATACCATATAAAATCAATGCCTGCCCAAGGGCATAGTAAAATGTTTTCACACTATACAGATTTGTGAAAAGACATGACATGCTGAAGAGATCATCTGATCCTGTCAATTGAAAAGAGAGCCTATGATGTAAGGAATGTTTTTCTGTACATATTTCAATTTTTTTGAAGTAATATATAAGAATATACACTGTTCAAACACATTGTAGTTCAATCGGATATGTCTCCTGAAACCAGACTATTTATGAATTGATAATTATATCATCTGCTGTGTAGGGTTTCCTGAAAATATCTAGTATAATTCATTCAATGAAAGTTTGGAGACAATGTGATTTATGAAATTTGCCAGAAAAAAATGTTCCCAAAGATCTAAACATATTCTCAAAGATTATTTATACATTAATTTAAATGCAGAAAGCTGAAGAAGGTTTATTCTAAACACTTTATCTTCTTTCGAAATAACTGTAAACAAACCTACTTTCTGTGCACAATCTAATTTCCTACCTTGAATATTGTTCTGAAATAGGGACTACAAGCAGAAAGTATAAATTTGTGAGCTTTGATATTGATTCCATCGCAAGTCAGAGTAACATCTGCGAGATCTTCGGTGCTCTGCAAACTTTCAAATGCACTCAAAATGTTGGATTGAAACCTGGTCCATTTCAAGCAAAAGTGTTTGGAAGTCATGGTTGCTTTCGGAGGGGATTGGCTTCCACATTAAATACGAAATTGTATTGAACTTTGAGTTATTAACAAAATAAAATGTGCAGAATTAACAATAACTTAAAAATAACCACGTATTAAAATAAAAACCAAAACATACTGAACGAAATTAAAACTTCAAACGTCAATGACGACTCGCGAAGACGTCAACAAATTAACGTATTGTGTGACAAATACATAGATGGCACTAAGAGTTTGTTTGAGATTTGTATAAATAGAAAAAAAACTTGTAGTACCATTGTATGTAGACTATACTATATACTATACTATACTATATACAAAAGTAGTACTGTCCTATTTAACGCCTTTCTTACTTTGTAACAAATTGAGCTGTTCGCATTTTTAGATTTTCAGAGTTTTTTGGTAGGCTACAGGAAACTAGATGTCACTAAAAGTCATATTTGAAAATTGAATGGAAAGATGATGCTTTGAAGTTAGTAAAATATATAATTTAGGTAAAGAAGTTTGCGAATCATATGCTTTCCTTCCTCTTCTTTAACGAAATATTTCCGAAATTCAATAATGTATAGTTCTCGTTATTCTTCGTATTGTTATTGCAGATTTCCCCATTACTCCCATTATTCCCCATTACTCCCACGTTTTCATTAGGATTTTGAGTACTAGATGGCAATAAAAAATAAAAGTCATTGTCTAAAAGTAAATCTTTAGACAATGTAAAAGTTATAAATCTTTATGACAAAAGGTTAATATGACTATTTTTACTCAGTGAGTCAATAAATAATGAAAGTAAAATAGTTTTTAACCAAGAGACATTTATCTTATTCAAAAATCCCACATTGGAAATCAATGAATATATTTTACCTATTTTGAAACTGTATTTTGATGGATTTGTCTAGAAAAAAGTTGGGTAGTAGGTACCATGTCATTGTCTATAAATCCTTAGACAATGACCATGTACTAGGTACTAGATAATGGCAGTATATCACTGAACAGGAATATTTCTTAACAAGGGCTGTAGAATTGCATATATTTTATTTAACCACTTCTTCAAAAATTGTTGACCCAGTTTGTACATTTTTGCGCATATTTTACAAAACATACTGAACTAAACTGGAACGTTAAACTCTATATACGTCAACAAATTTAATTTCGAATTGAAGTATTCTGTCACAAATACATTAAAAGTACTTCTTTAATTTTTGAAATTTTATTATAGATTTCTTCATTACTGTTTATGAAATCCAATAATTTTCCCTTGAGCTTCTGAATAATACTTATGAGGCACTGTTTGGAACCTTTGGTGTAGTAATGAATATTACTGGAGTTCTTTCCCAACACCAAATCGTTATTATCGTCTTAAAAATAACGATTTGGTGTTAGGAAAGAACTCCAGTAATATTCTTTTGAATAATAGATGACGATAAAAACTTGAACAATGAAACATTTTGGGATTATTTATATGACTTTACATGTTCAAATGAATGATCACAAAAAAAAATAGAAACAAGTTCAAACTGTGTTTAAAGATAAGCACCATCTACCTACTTCTGAAAGTTGAGAAATATCTGAATTTTCATAGATTTAAGTCTAGGAGGCTAGGTTAGGTCAAAAGTGAGTGGATCTATTCGACCCTCCACCGCAACCCGCAAATGTTTTTGTGGCTCAAACCTATTTATACTCGATCAAATAAACACAGCTTCTTAACGAAGCCAATTAGTTTATATGGTGAGTAGTATGTCAGTGCGGGTCTGCCAAACTCTGAGAACATGGTCCCCAGCGGGGCAGGCACAAAGTAGGTATGTGTTGTGCTGTTTCATCATTTTTCAAACGACATACACTGTCTTCTGACAGTCCGAGTCTCTGCATATGATGATTCAGACGACACTGACCTGTGAGTAGGCCTGTTAGTCATCGTAGTTCGTCCCTACTGTAGTCCAACAACTGTTTGGTTTCAAGCTTCGAAGGGTAAATGAACACCTTGGAGTGAGTCAATCCTAGAAGATTTTAGCAGAAGTCCATAAATCTTCTTGCCATCCAGGTGTTTAATGTTTTTTGGCAAATCTTAAAGCGATGCCAATGACAGGTTCTGGTCCGATGAAGCTGTTTGCAGCTCCCTCCTTTGCAAGGGAGTCAGCAGCCTCATTGCCTTCCAGGCCAGTATGGCCAGGAATCCAGACCAGAGAATTTATTAAGTCTTCCTATTGAGGGAGTCGTTTTTGGCAATTTCCTACCAATTTAGACGTTGCTCGGTAGAAGCCAAGAGCTTCCAACGCTGCTTGACTGTCCGAGAATATTTTTATTGACTNAGGTTGATATCCCTGTTCTGGGTCTGCGACTGAAAATACCTGCACCAGAACTGGAAGGTGTTTTTGATCCATCTGTGAACTAGCAACTATCTGCTCTTAATATTTTCTTCTCCAGGAGGATTCATTCCTCTCTACTCGGGAACAATAATACTGTACAAGTCTAAGAGGAGTTACGTCGTATATCCAGTTTAGTGGACAGAATTGTTTCATTACTTGGCTTTCAGAATTCTGACGAAACAAAGTGTATACATTTTAATTACTGTTTCTTTAAAAAAATTATGACCCGCTTTCAAAATTTTTTACGCATAATTTACAATGATCTGACTTTGAAAATTAGAAAATTATCTAGTGAAACCGCATAGATAATCAAAAGTTTCAATCATTATTACAAAACTTTTCCTCAAAATTATCTACGAATTAATATTTTATCAGTATCGAAACTGTAAAAACAACCTTCTCATACTTGAAATTTTGAATATAACCATCCACCATATTCGAGATAAAATACAAACATCTTCATCATTGAATATCGTGAGTAAATCATCAAGATTAAGTTTGCATTTCTAGTAAAACAAACAGATGCTTCAGATAAAATTCAAGGTTTTCTTATTTTATTCAGTTTCTTCCTCAATTACGATGGAGGTGATTGCATAGTCCAACAAATAATTCAAATAACTGAATTACCACAACAAAGTCATCTTTGTCTCTGCTTATGATACGTTGGAAAGTGCTATGGCCAATTAAAAAAAAACAACTGTAATCAATGTTACACCCAAACTTCACATTTTTTAGAATGGATTTGTCCCACGTGTGCCAATTTAGAAAGAGTAATGGTTAGTTATGCATGAATTGTGTTCTCAGAGTGAAACACAGACCATGCAAAGATTTGGAAACTGTTCAATGAACAGCATTTGTCAGCTGTTCAGGAAACGAGTTTTTTAAATAAATCTCGTCGACGTCAAAATACCGATAAACTGGTAATGACAAGAAATCATGAAACACACTCAACGATGTGGGAAATGAAAATAAATCTATTTATTATTTATCTGGTCAGTTGGAAATGACAGACATTGTCGAACATCCGAACACGATTACTCCTAAATTATCATGATCAAACCAACAAAGCCTATCGAATTAAATGATAGTCGAGTCTAATATGAGCGTTATTATTTATAATAATAGTAGTATGTGCAAAGACAAGGTCAACATTTTCATTGTCATTAACTTTTATTTCACTCCCATAGTTGCCAATTATTTCTGCATCGACAGTTAAAACACTAACCGGTTCCTCTTTGATAAGATGAAATTATACGAATGTAGATACACTCATGTAAATACATGCATGGAATCGATATGTGTTTTTGTTCAAGTTAGCCTAAAATTGCCAAATTAATTTTTAGTACCCTTTCAGGTATATAATCTTAACTGACGAAACCCGGACGTAACATGATTATTGAAAATAATATTATAGTATTTTAGTGTAATAATGAAAGTCGAATAAATAAAGATGGAGAAGTATCTACAAATTGAAACTCTATTCGTTCAAAAATAATCTCTAATTTCTGAAAAATTGTCCCCAGAAATTCAAAATATGAAATACAAAAACTATTGTCATTACATCATCTGTTACTGAGGAAATTCTGTGAAAAACGGATATCATCAAAGCAATTGATTAATGAGAAATCATCCTCTAAAACTAAATGAGAGCAATACATTTTTGGCAGAAATAAAAATTTTAAATACATCTCTGGATTGGACATAGATGTACTTACAACATATGTACTCAAATGTCTGACTGAAATGCCTCTCTGATCGCAAAACAATATTGATGTTTAAAGAATAAATTATATAGTTTCCCCTTTAGAAAATCAGTTGACTCATGATGCATGTAATGATTTGATGAGCTTTTAATATTCAACTTTCCTGCAGACAATCAAAATTGACGGTATTTATAGCTATTTTTTCAACTAAAATTTATGCATATGAAAGAGCCAAGGAAACATTGTGAAATTCGTTACAGTTCTCTTATTGCGATGAAGAAAAGAAATTGTGATACTTATGTTTACGGCAGTAGTATAAAATTATTCGATTATAATGTGAATTTTCAAGAAACAATTACTTATTGCTTGAAGGTGGACTATTTAACGAAGACAACAGATTGGAGAATACGGCACAGACAATATCTGTAACATAGTATATTATATTATGATTTGTACAGTGTGTATAAAGGTGAAAGTATTGATGATGATAGATTTAATTGCTGAATCTCTACTGAAATTGTTATTAAAAGTAAAAAAAAAAATTTAAATAAGAAAAATGTAAGTAAATTTCGTATCTGAACAAACTTTGTGATTATAAATGAAGAAAAACCGTTACTGATTTAACATCTTAGGAATTATTTTTCAAAACACTCACATTTTCTACTTCATTTCATTTTTTGAAGACTTACAAACTAACGTCTTTGATTTATCAATGTCTCAATGTGTCAAAGATAAGGAGAGCCAGTATGGGAAAATAAGATCCCGTAAGAGATACAAAGTCGAATAAATTATGAAAAAGTTGCCCATTTTGAAGCTCAATCAAACGGTAACTCATTAGCGAAATTGATGCCAAAATGGCCAACTTTTTCCGGATTCATATAGAAAATTTAATTGGTGATGATTTCTTGGAGATGAAACATCAGTTTAAAAATCTGTAACCGTTATCTTGTACAGCTTAAAAAGAGGCAAGTGTTTATTGTCTTTCAAAATCACTTTAAATGGCGTCAGAAAAAAAATAAAAACAAATTGCCGAATTTCGGTTTTTTTCACATATTTTCGGAAATAATTGGAATTTGGTAAATTTCAGAACGTAATTTCAATACACCTCGAAATTGACAACGTTTTCCTTGTATCTCTAACACACTTCACAAAAATCTACCTGGGTAATTATGTATTACGAATTATTGGCAAATTACCTAACTGACACCTAATTTGCTTTTGACTCAAACACATAAATTACGTAATTTCTCACGAAATAAATTCAATGTGTGGGCATGTTCTGTGCAAAATTGTTTTCGTTGCGATAATTAATGACAGGGAGGTTCTCCTTTCATACCATAGTTGAGGTGAAAGTTAAAAAAAATCAATCGACAAAGAGTAATTTTTATAATTTTCGCTACCCATTGTGTAAATTGACTAAATAAAATTTTGTGGTCCTACCTATTTTGGTATGAGATAACTACGGCACCTACGTACGTAACAAGTATTGTAGAGATGAACAATCACTACATTGAAATTCTGTCAGTGGAAGGAACACTTCTCATGTTCTAAGCCATTATAGTTGTTCCATCCAGATGAATATGTCGTTTTTTGGGTGAAATCCAAAAATTTTTGAGATTTTAAGTTCCGGAGTCAGTGAAATGAAAAAGAAAAATATATGAGAAAATACTATTTTACGGTATAGGCTGAAATGGAGTGATCTTCCTTTTAGCAGGACTCTTATACGGATTTTTATGTTATAGTAAAATTTTTATTTGTTTTCAATGACAATGTCGCTATGTGATTTTTCCTCAATTTTCTTTTGGAACTACACTGAATTGTATCTTAATTTTAGCCTTTTTCTCAATACTATTGTGTTTGTCGATTTTTATGAACTGTAATGCTTTATTGACCCCTAAAAACCTAACGAACCTAAGTTAGCAGATTTTGCCGACTGCTCCACAGAAAACCAATCTTGTTGAAACTTCAAGTAATTCTCTGTGTAACGATAGGTAATTATATTTGAAAATATTTGTCACAGTCAAAAACTGTCAATGAATAGATTGTCAATAATTCACCGCTTTTACTTACAACGAAAGCTAGCAACTGTTTGGAACCTTTGGTGTTGTAATGAATATAACTGGAGTTTTTTCCCCAACACCAAATCGTTATTTTAACACCTCGACACGTGTTTCGATCACCAAGTGATCATCTTCAAGAGGAAGATTAAACTAAATATACATACAATGTTATCCTCATTTATATCTTAGGTGCCTCTGCTAGGTATCTGCTTCNGAAATTGTATGGAGAATAGTCAATAAAGAACATTTTGATCTTTTGATCTTATCGCCCTTTTTTGTAGAACAAACACTGATTGCATCAACTGCTTGCTACATAAACCCCAGAAAGCGATACCATACCTCAGATGAGACTCGACTAATGAAAAGTTAGATGTTTTTCCGGCTACTATTCCCAACTCATTGGTGATGACCCTGATAGCGTAGCAACCAGATGCAAGTTTTTTTTTTGAGATGTTTTACGTGTTCATCAAACTTCACTGTATTATCAATCCATTATCCCAAGAATTTGGTGCACGTGTTATTTTCGATGACATGCTTCTGGAGGCTTGGGTTTCCCGAAACAAATTTAAACAAAATTATGTTAGTTTAATTCACATTGAAACATAAAGGATTGGAATCACACCAAGATTTGACTTTCTCTAAATCAGTTTCAATAATATTTCTCAGGGAGTCTGTATTATTTCCATGCCATAGTAAAGTTGTATCATCTGCAAACATTGTAAACTTTGCTTGTATGTCGATATTAGATAGGCCATTCACATAGATAAGGAACAAAATGGGACCGAGCACTGATCCTTGGGGGACTCCAAAAGGGATTTTCGAAAGACTAGAATTTTTGTTCTGCAACTTTTACATTTGAATTCTATCTGAAAGATAAAATCGGAACTAATTGAGGGTTGTTCCTTTGATACCATAAAGGAATAATTTTTCCAACAGCACTCTGTGATCAACGCAATTAAAGGCCTTGGTAAAGTCGCAGAATACTGCCGCAGCCACTTCACCTTTATTAAGCCCTACATATAACTCTTCTAAAAAGACAAAGATAGCATCATTTGTACTTTTGAATCTTTGAGAACCAAACTGTGAGCTACTCAGTATATTATGCGTCTCCAGAAATTTTAGCAACCTTTTTTTTACAAGCATCTCTATCACTTTTGACAAAGTAGATATTAGTGAAATAATACGAAAATTGGATGGCTCATTCACTTCACCACCCTGGTGAAATGGAATCACTATAGCAGTTTTCAGTACATCCGGAAATAAACCAATTGAAAATGATACATCAATTAATTCTGCCAGGGCAAAAAGGATATGATCTGGCAGTTTTTCTAATAAATTTACTGATATTTCATCGATTCCATGCGTTTTTTTATTTTTTAGTTCCCTAAATGTTTCATCAAGTTCTTCAATATTTGTATGTTCTAAAATGAATTCTTTTGAAATCATTACGTAACTCAAGTAGTCTTAAGGGTTTTTTGTATGGATCTGTTGAGTTTGAGTTTTTCTGCTATTGTACAGTAATACACATTGAGGCTATCAGGGTTGATGTCAATTTGCACTGGAAGCTTGTTTGTTTTGCCTCTCAGATCATAATTATTTATTCTGAAGTACATTGTGCAACTCATTGTTGCTATTTTTACAAATAATATTATCGTTCAAGCAGTCTTTCAGTTTTTTTGAAGTAGTATCATCAGATATTACTGATTTGGAAAAATTTCCTACAAATACTCAGAGCTTTGTAACAGATCGAAGACTTCCCGACGCTCTAGCCAAAGCGCGGGAGAAATGGAAAACTATATAAACTACATAGAAAGCGAAATCATATTTATTGCTTTGTGGTTTCGTTGGTGATATAGCGTTTACTTCATCAACCATGAGTTTGACGATGCGACTGGTAAGTGGATAGTTTTTATATGAAAGGAGAAAGGATATGATGTATAAAAGTGACAGTTCATCTCATCTGATAGTGACGAAAAACTCTTATATTTTGTGGGCCATATAGATCTTCTCTGGCAAAAACAAATAATGGATCTTTGTTTAAAATTGTTTGACGATATTTCCATTGCCTGACGAAGTGTTGGATTATATTGACGAACAAAATGAATGAAATTTTAGTGATATTAAAAATTATCGGTTCGAAATATTCGGATGAATGCATAAAAACAGAAATAATGTCAAAGATATTGAACAAAAACGGTTAAGAAATCAGCATACAAATTGAAAAACCTGCAGGAACGTTTATTTGTGAAGTAAACAGAACAAACTGATGATGCTACACTGTAGGGAAACTCGTTTTGAAATGAAATTCATTGTGAAAATTCTATAGATTATCATACCTATTTATTTATTCATTGATCATTGCTTATTCATTTTTGCTCAATTTTTTGACATTATTTCTGTTTTAACTAACTGATTCGAAGATTTCGGCGCGATAATTTTCAGTATTTTCGATAATTTAAACATTCTATTTATTTCAGTTTCATTTGTTCTTTCATAGATTTTCAATCAGTTAATACCTTTTTAGACGATGTCCGAACTTGTTACTAACGTATTCTAAAAACACTTTATTGTGTGATTTTCACTAGACAGTTTTACAAAAACGCAACACGTGTTTCGCCATACAATGGCTTCCTCGGGCGTGTCTTAATAACCTTATTCTTATTAAAACGTTTTTGTAAAACTGTCTAGTGAAAATCACACAATGAAGTGTTTTTAGAATACGTTAGTTATGGATTTTCATCAAGTATCGGCCGATTCCATCATATAACGAACTTGTTACATTTACATAATGAATATCTCCATACACGGTAAATTCAAAACAATGTTGCCCTCAAGCAACTGTCTGTTAGGAAATTTAAATAATCTTTGAAGTAGTTAATGCACCAGGGTGAATTGTATACTATATTGAATAATTTTTCTTGATAATCAAATGAAAGTCTAAAATATCCATTATTGACTGTTTCTTTCCAACGTTTCTTTTGTCAAATAATTATTGTTTCTTGTAGAAATCTATAACATCGATCATTATAACTTTTATTGTTTACTTAATTTATAATTATTGTTTTTGTAATTAAACTCTACCACTAGTGTTTTTCTCATACCGATGGCACACACGTGTGTATTGTGGAAATAAAAATACTACCTGAATAATGTCGTCACCCAAAAACTTGAAAACACTCGTTCAAATTTATTACTTTTTTGATTTATCTAGGATAAATCAGGTCAACTATGACAACTTAAGTTTTTCGATGCATTTGAAGTTGATTAACTATTATTTATCGAGTTTCAAAATTTAATTTCAAAAGAGAAATGTAGTGTTCTTGTAATTCAGTAATGCTTGATTTAATATTCAACCGCTGATTCTTTCATTTAAATGTATCAATTGATGGTGAATCAAAGTTGTCGATTTAATTTTTATTCACTTTTCTCGCCCACAATCATTACTAGAATCTGTATCAAATTGTTTTATTTTTTTTCTATAGAATAAGTGATGACTTTAGCAACAAACAAAATAAACCTCAAATATTGCAATTTCCTAATTTCAAATAGATAATGTCATAGTTTTGACGGAAAAAAGTTCTATATTGAAATGTTTCGTGACGAATGTGTCTAAAAAGGATAATATTCAAACCAAGTTACATTCTGTAGCAAAATCATATTTAATATTTGGAAAAAAAATATGTTTGGCCTTCTAGTTTTCCACCATTATATAAAAAGCAGAGTTTTGGTAAGAAAGTGAGAAAAAATGAAATACATCAATAATTTTTTATGAACATGTGTAGATCATAGACAGAAGAAAAAAATCATCCGATATTTACTACAATTATTATGAAATTATTAGTTGGGTAAGCCCCCAGATGAATTTCCAGTAATGCCGCATTAGCAGATCTCTTTCCTTTTGTAAAAGCGTGTTAAACAATATTTTCCTAGTCGGTGAGCATCTTTAGCAAATGTACGAGTACAATGCGAAAATCTGTACTATTTCTTGGATCTGCACATGAATTTTTATCAACACGTTTCTGGATAACTTTGAAAGATTCACTCGATGTTTGTAAAAACTTCATATCACTGTCACTGGAAGAGTTACAAAATACCATTCTTAAAAAAATCTATAGAACCAACTAAATCAACCCCAGATATCCAAATTTCTTTTATTGAAAAGAAAATATTTTCTTCGGGAGAAATCTTGTCTCAGAAAAACCTTTTTGACTTTTATTTATCCAACACTATTAAGAATGTGTGAACAGAAATGCTCATGTTTTCGAAGATTTACTAGATTTAACGTACGATATGTGTGTTACTCTTTATTTGCATTGTATCAAAAACATACTTTATTTTCTTAAATTCAAATCATACAGCGTGAAACAGTCAAATGAAATATATATTCGGTACTCACATTATTATGGATTTTCTGCTCTACCATAGATCTCTATACTGAAATACATTTAAGTGACAGTTCCAAACCTTGATAATTCGAATAGAAAGGAGTATTCGAAAGGTTCAATGATGTTCTATTGGAGAATTATGTGGTTGTCAAATTCATTGTGAAAAGTAAAAATGAAAAATTCATCTGACTGGCGAATTTGGCTATATTATCCTATTAAATTTAATAATTAAATGATTATGTTTTTAATGATGAAAAACACAAGAAAATTCAATTTCATCACTTTTTAACTTATCTTATACACTGTTGGTATTATAAAATGTTATCAAAATTTCAAACGTATTCTTTGAACTGATATCAAGTAAGACTTGTTTTTTTCGACGAGTCTACTTTTATACTACAAATCATTCATGAAAATCAGATTCATAAAAATCCATAATGGATGGAAAAATAACATACATAATATTCTAAAAAGGTTGGAGCTTGCACAGATATAGTTGGAAATCACTTTATCAATTTCTTTTCATTGACGGCAACTTGAGTGGAGATGAGTTTTTGCCATTGCTTCAAAATTAAATCATTCCAGCTTCGGCAAATTTATATCCTGGTCAAGCAAGCTCACACAATAAAGCACCTTTTCCCGCAGAATTTCGACCTAATATTTTCCAAATAGTGGATAAGAGTTGATAAAATGGCCAACAATATCACTTAGGCTTACACAATGAGACCGCTTTCTATCGGTATATGTATACAAAACTAAGCTGACTCAAAAAGGAGAAACAGTTTAAGTTATAAAGTTCAATAGTGTGTTAAATGGAATTTCGGCGATGAAATATATTCATCAATGAATATAAAATCATAAGATTTTCATTATATGATAATGAACTCTTTCCATTGAGATACTACAAACTCCTACTTCCTATTTGAGAGTTGGAACATTCGAAAAAGGTAGGCTGAAATTTTCACCTTGCTGGATGTCACTATAATTGAGATAAATTCTAAAGAAATGTTATCAGGAAATAGTATAAATGAATGTCATATCTGTATCTACCAAACCGATCATTATTCATCATTCTTCAAATAATCTAATAAAATGAGAAGAATAACCAATCATTTATCATGAAAGAACAATATTTTTGGGAAAGGAAGGTTTTGGCTTCCTACTTCTTCATCTTTATACAAAAAAAGTGGGAATCTTCCAATGAACAGGAGAAAGCAAATCATATCGTAGTTAACTCTATACAAAGATGTGTAGGTCATGCAAAGAAGTATAAAGATGTAGGCATACAGATAGAGAAGTTGAAAGACAAAACCTTCCTTTCCCAGAAATTAATCTTTCCTTGAAATACAGTCCTTTCAATTTAAACAACATTTTGTTCTATCCAACAAAACAAATGTTCTGGATTCATACTACTTTCTTAACTTCCCTCGTAATTCCATTCACTTGAATCTCTCATTTTTCTATTAACTGTATTGACAGAAACCAAGCCGCTCACATTCAATTACCTCATTATATTTTCACTTTATGTGATCCAGTCTTGTAATTCTGTTAGCTTTCTCTGATTCTTTCAAATTAATAACCGATAATAATTTCAATATAGATGTGAATGTCATTAATTTTTCCCATAATTAGATATCGAATCGGAATAATTAGAAGACATACGGCGATTCAATCTAGTTTGTTATTACATGTACCTTGAGTTTCAAATGTTTTATCACAGTGGAAGATCGTATATCTTTGAATGATAATTGTATTTCTGTTTGGTATTTCGGATTTTGAATCACCAAGAATGCATTTCTCTCATTCATATGTTAGAAAATAAAATAATTTTATCAACCATAAGTAGATTTTTTTTTGTGAAGTAAAAGGGAATTGTTAATTATAGAAACATATAAAAAAAGTAATACAATTGGCACTCCGGGGCGAGTTGATTGATTCCAGTGGCGCATTTGCTCTTTCAGCTGCAGGAAAACCCGGAATAACTTGCAGCACCACATCATCTGAAGATCCTGATCTGCCACTGTCCTCTCTTTCGTAGAATAAAATGTAGGGTGTGTCCAGAGGCTCCAAAGAAGTCAAGATATTGCCAGAATATTTAGTTGAATATTTAGTTGAAGTTCTAGAAAGTCACATACGTTTTTGATACCTCTTGAACATGCACTACAAAATAAACTAGTGGCGATTTTTCCAGCAAAAGATCTACAAACACAAGACGACAGAGACTGTACGGAATCATTCAATCCAGAGCGGTCAAGAGTATTGATTCTGCTATTTTCCTGCTCACGAAGAGTATTCAACAAGAACCCCAAGGATTCGGAACAATCCTCTTGTTGTCCTAACGAGTATCTAGTGGACTTCAAAGACTCAAAGAAATCGGTTGGTGGGAAAGATGACACATTCTCACAAAATTGCAGCTGCATGAACAGATGAACAGGTGTTTGAGTTTGGAGTAGGAAACATTCTCGTTCTCATTCATCGTCAAAACCTCGTTCTTGAAATTCTTCATCAT